AGACGTTGTTTCACAGTGTGCATTATGCTTTTTTAAATGTCGGCGGAACGTAGTAGGACTATTCAGTTTGCTAGAGCATTCTGGACAAGTAAATTTACTATCACACCTATTGATTATAATCGGCTCTATTTCTTTGTGTAAAAAACCATAATTAGAGAAGTCATGTTGAGAACACAATGTTCATTTCTTACCATTTTCCAAATAAACTGCCAATGAATTAAGATGAGCATCATATTTATGATTTGCCAATTTTAATTGAGAATTAAAATCAAGTTTGCAGTCATCGCATTGAAAGCTTTTTTGTTTATCTGAATTCATTTAGATTGTGAGAGAAAAAGTCAGATAATCAGAGAAAAAAGTCAGATACACAAAGTGTTTTCGCCTTAGCAGATCCCAAAATGTAGTGAGTCTAAACAAATAAAACAAACTGTCCATAAAATGTAAAGTGTCTTAAAATACAAGGTCAATGTGTCTGACATACATTTGAAATCGTCTAATGTAACATGTTGAAATAGTCCATTCTAAATGCCAAATCGTTCAAATCGTCCAATAAAAGTTCACAACCGTCTAAAATTTTTTTTGTAATCGTCTAATTTTAGGTTAAAAGCCTGTATAAACTTACTCACTGGGTAAATAGATAAAAATCAGTGACACAGAACAAAAAGTTGGCATTCCGGCAAGACTGGGTGAGATATTCTCATATAAAAAAGGATGTATTATTTTATATTAAATATATCAAAGTAAAGCACGGATACTCGATCATTAAAACTACCATTTTATATATAGAACTAGGCACGCGTACTCTATATAGAACAAAAGTGTGTTATTTAATAGAAACCAGCAAATTAGGTACTGAATCTCGCTATTTTAAGTTTTGGCATTGGTTTGATGTCTCTAAAACACGACATCTAAGAAGGGAGAGATAGCGATCAATAGTACTAATATTAATCGTATAATTAATTTAAACTTTAATTACCAAGATAAATAAAAAGATGAATAAAACTAGTTTTCATATGTGAATCCAGTCATATGATGATGATATACATTGAAGTGGGCCTTTCAAAAAAGGCAATGACTTTAATAGAGTTTTTTTATAATCTTTATGATCTATTTAACTTTTTAAACCTGCGTCATTATTCCATTATTCTTACTTGATCCATCAATCATGTTTTTGCAGTGTCTAGTTTTAAAAAAATACGATAATATGCAGCAAGTCTCAGGCTGTTTATATACAGTGAAATATTTTCAAAAGATCAATAGAAAAAGCTAAAAGCAATTTAATATGTATGAAGAGAGTTTATCTGCTACCATAAATATCGTTTAAAGCTCGATATTAGAATTCTCTATTATGGGCAGTTTAATATCTAAAAAAGAAAAAGATAAGATGAGTTAATCAAAGACTAAAAAAGGTATTCCAAGTTCTAGGTTATTCCATTAGAGTGCATCTCGACTTTGAGGTCTGATTGTGACGTTTTTCTGAAAATAAACCTGTTGAGGCATGCTCTCTGATCTGATGAAAGATAGAGATTGATACTATTTTGGATATCATTTTTTATTATCAGCAAGTGTTTTAGATTATAAACGAGTTTATTTTGACTACCCATGCTAATTTTTCACAAATAAAGATTCGTTTATAGAATAGATTTATTTATTTATTTATTTATTTATCTACAAGAAAAAGGGGGGGGGAGGGGAATAACAATTGAAATACAGGTAAATTTGTAGACACAAGATTATAATTTTGATGCTGTTGTTAATCATAGCTACTTCCAACTGACAAACTTCTTGAGTGCATCATAATCATCACTAAGGCCTCTTACAACTGCTGCTTCATATGGATACTTTTCACTGTGCTTCTTGATCATCTGATCAATATCATCTTGTTGTTGTTGTGCTGATATTTTCTGTGTATTCGCTGTTATTACAAAAGGCTCTTCTTTTAACTCTAATGTGTGGATGAACATATTTGGTATAGTAGGGTAAAACTTGTATCTGTATTCCATGGCGTCATAAATAAACAATCGAAGTCGTTTGATAAATCTTGGTGTGAAATTTGCCAGTCTGTTGGATTTAATTTTGCTTTTCAATTTAGGGATATCACATAAATGTCCTCCACCTTTGATAAGATTGTCATAAACAACAAAGCCATCAACTTCATGCTCTTCCTTGAGATTAATGTCGGGATCATCATTATTGAGGTCATTAACGAAAACAAAGCGTTCTTTTGGTGGGACAGAAATTTCTTCCAGAACTCTTTCAATGTGGCCAACTGGAAGTTCTCGAAACAGGTGAGGTGGGCAGACCTGTTGCAAATTATGGAAATTAAAAATAGAAGCAATAGCTTTTTTGAAAAAGTTAAACATTGTTTGAAGTACGATAATAAAAAAAAATAATGGGTGAAAAATAAGTGAGTAGTAGTAAGGCAGAAGGTGATAAGAATCAAAGTGTTGTAAAAAAAAATTTGAAAGAAAAAGAGGAAGAGAAAGCTACGTGAACGTGTTTTCCTTTATATATAAATATTTTCAGTTGTTTATCTGTTTATCTGTTTTATTTTTTCATTTCAAAGACTAGTTTGCATTTTTTTTTACTTTCCTATACCTTCAAATCCTATCCACTCAAACAAGTGAGAGAGCAACTGGCCATGATATATTGACTATATCAAAAATCTCTCTATAATGGGTTTCTCAATAATGTTATAAATGTATGTAAAAACAGTCTACTAAACTATTGTATAGGCATGATATAGTGAATATGATTATTATGTCATGATTCAATAAACATTACCGTATCTTATTCTTCAATCGCGACAAAAACACTAATGTACTTGCTTGTTTATTTCCAATACAGAACGTGATAAATTATTATCTATTAAGTAAATATTGAAATGTATATTTTATCAGTACAAGCTTATAGAAACTATTTTTTAGTTATGCATAGTTAAAAAACACTTTCATGCATTGAAAGTCCACTACCTTTTTTTTTTTAATCCTTATCATCTATACATTTCCAACGAATGTCAAGCTGATTAGGATTCTTTTAATTCTAAAATTCGGGTTATTATTCTTAAGGCACCAGCTTGCTAGTTTCTAACATCTTCATGTGATAATAATTAGAGAGATTATAACTCGAGAGCTATATAATGATGCAAAAATCTTGTATTCCAAGTATTGATAAGTATCGCCAAAAGACCCCAAAATTAACCAATCATGATGTTGTTCTGTCGATCAGTATGTATAATTTCAGTTTTAGTTTATGAAAACTTATTCTCCTATTTCCTAACTCAATATATAACTTGATATACTTTAATAAAGACACCTTATTCAAACAATGAAGCTATATATTATTACGTAAAGCGTCGTCAAAGTATTAGCCCCTTTATTTATCTTATTATCTATTTTGTTTATTGGTATTGAGGTGTACTCTGTCTATTCATTGTTAGAGATCCATAGAATTATATTGATCCAATTCTGTAATTCTGTGTTATTATTATTTCTACTCTTATTATTTCAAATCTTTATTTCTTTTCCATCGTATAAAAAGTCTATCTTTTGTATAAGAAAACTATAGTAGTGTTACGCCTCCTATATTCAATAGTGCCCGTAACTGTATCTATACTTGATCCAAGCTCTTGATTTATCTACCTGTCAACTTTTACTCTCCGCTCTGGATATATTGAATTATATTCATGCCTCAGTTGATATTTTATTTTTATTACTGTCACTCAAGATATTTAGATTTAATTCTATATTGATATATTCTGGACTATTACCTTATCCATTATATCTTGAGGATTTATTCCATTTTTATTAACTATTTCCTTTTGTATTTTTTTACCTTACACTTTCGATATTATCGGAAACTATCTGTCCATTCACATGGATCGATTATAGATTCACATCTATATTTTGTATTTGTAATAATCTTTTAGATTAGTTTCTTTTAACCGATAATGGTTAATTGAACTAATATAAATACTGTGATATTTAGCACACAATAAACTTCATCTTTAACTTCACATTTATTTTTATCTTATTACTTAAAGCGTTGGCACAGAAGCCCCTTTATTTCTTTTATTATTTATATTGATTGTCGGCATCGAGGTGTATTCTGCCCTATTTTATTTGTTGAAGGTCCATAGATATTATATTGATTCAGTTCTATAATTCTGTGTTATTATTATTTTTATTCCATTCTATTTTATTTTATATCTTTCTTTCTCTCCTCTTGTATAAAAAGTCTATCTTTTATATAAGAAAACTATAGTAACAATACTTTAAATTGTTGGTGCTCACTATTACCTGCGAAACCCACTCAAAACCTAACAAGATCTAACACTATCTACTGAACCTATTAAAAACTTAATGGTAACAAAAAAAGGTCATATATCGATACAAGGTGACTTAAGAAAACAAATCAAAAACCTCATGCGGGGGTCGAACCCGCAACCTTTCGCTTAGAAGGCGAATGCGCTATCCAATTGCGCCAATGAGGCATGTTATTTAAATTTTAAAGTAAAAAATATATAATTTGCTTACTAAGCCACAAAAGAAAAAGAGTCACATATACATATACTCTGCTCTTTCAGTCCTTACAAGACGAAAGATTATACGTATAGACAATAAGAGGAAAGGTATAAACTCTGAAAACACTTATTTCCCTTAATATAAATATAAAGAAGCTGTACATACGATGAGCGGAGCATTATTTGATAAGCTAAATTAATTCATGAAGAATAAAGATAAAAAGCCTTCTGTGGAATCTTTTAATACTAATGATAAAGAAAACTTAAATAGCTGTTTTAAAAAAACTGAATAACACTGATTCGTAAAATAATGTTTTATTAACTGACCCGTTTATAAAATAAAAGAAATTGTACTGCATGAAAAAACGATGCATAAAAATAAAGCTTTCTATGGAGATGTACAGGAATAGCAGAATGTGCCTTAGATTTGGCAAACTAAAAAACATTCGAGTACCAAGGATATCTTTTTTTTTTTTTCTTTGAATAAAGATCAATTATTTAAATCAACTTTTGATAACAGGATAAAGGGCGTCATTACTTATTTTCTATTCTCTATTAACATTTTCTGCTTTTTTTTTTACTTTCAATTTCATTCAACTCTTTGTTTTCTGGCTTGGACAATGATACTCCTGGGTAAGCTAATTCCCTCCATAAAAAATATGAAACTACGCTTAAATAAGCTCGCATTAAAAAAAAAAAAAAAAAAAAAAAAAAAAAACTGTTTATTTATTGGATATTTTCAACCAAATTGATGCTCGTTTGATTGTCAAGGATGACCGAGGAGTTCAGCATTATCTTGATACATTGTTTTTATTGTTATCATTTGATTATCTTCTATCACCTTTTAATAGTAAAACAACATCTACTTTTGAATGAACTGACCCTTTTACTTAACCCACTTGTATATAAAATGCCAACAAGTCATTGAAACTATTTGAATCGCATACTATTTCTTAAACATGGAAAAGAACGAAGTATGCAAAAAGCGGAGAAAAACCGTACTGTAACGTGAGATTCCCAACTTGGAAATAACTCTCTGGCGTTGAACCGATTTTTTTTAATTTTTTTGTTTCTCTTTTCTTTTTTTTTTTAAAAAAAATAGCAACCATGTCTATGAAATTACAACAATGTCTGCGAGACAGACGCTACTATTCAAAAGCAAAACCTACCTGGAAGCAAAGAAGGCGCAATTTGGGTATATAAAACAACCTACAGACACCTTTCCCTTCTCATCTAAAGCTCCTTCATATAAATATAGCTTATCAAGTATACACAGACAGATATACAATATCCCATATGGCCTTTGAAAGAGAATTATACGGTCACACTGGATGTATTAATACACTAGAGTAAGCATGATTTGATCCAACTAATAATTACACACGAAATACTAATAAATTCGATTTGAAGTTGGTCCTCCCAAGGAGATAAATTGTTAACAGGATCAGATGATACGTATTTGTGTATATACCAGCCATTTGATAATTACCATCTTCGATCTGTCATTACCACAGGTTAATTATACAAATACAATATATTGACTTTTATATACCAATTTATATAAATATATATAAATAGGACACAGCGCAAACATCTTTTCAGCAAAATTCATGCCTCATACATCCGACAATATTGTTATTTCGGGCGCTGGTGACTCCGAAATCCGAATATTTGATTTAACCTTGGAAAGTTCACTATCACAAATGTATGTCTGTCATAGTGATCAAATCAAGCAGATATGTGTTTATCCTGATAATCCGAATGAATTCCTTACATGTTCACAAGATGGTGACTATTATTATAATGCCAATGGATGATTAACAGTTTATTTATTTATATTCATTATAGGTAACGTGCGTCATTTTGATATTAGGACACCTCATATCTGTTCACGTCATATTGTACGAAAATTTATTACTGCAGAAAGTAAACTCTCAAAACAAACACTCATACCAGAAGGTCCAAATATACAACAGGGTTGTAGAAAGCCAATCGTCAATTACAGCAAATACAATATTGAGCTGAACGGTATGTCCATTCATCACCAGTTTCCACACTATTTCGCTATAGCAGGCACGCATGATTACATCTATCTTCATGACAGGAGGATGGTGGGCGAGAGTGGAGGAGGAAGCGAAAAGGGGATGATGGATGCTACAAAGTGCATCAAACGATTTACTTCCACCAGCGATACACATACGCGTCCTAATAAGCGTATTACTTCATGCAAGTTTGGACGTTCAAAGAGTTCAGAGGTAAAGAAAGTAAATGTATTCGAAAAAAAAATAAGTGTATTTATACACACAGATTGAAAAAAAAAAGTTGATCGGTAGTTGGTCTTCAGGTGGTATTTATCTATTTGATATAAATGATTCACCATTGGAGGCACCCCGTAGTGAAAGTACAGTTTCAACAAGTTCAAAGCGAAAGCGTAGTCTGTCCATGGATAGCGAACTGCCAGATGAGAACCCATTAAAGAAATGGAACAAGTGTGTTCGGCTCTTCCGAGATTATGAATGGGAAGAGGCATCGGCACAGTTAAATATACTTATAGACCAATATCAGCCAAATACCCTCTTTTCAGCGTCTACTTCCTTCTCGGACGCTGCGGATGCTGCACTTATCCATACGTGTGCATTGTTGCTGTCTGCAGCCATTGATTTACAAATAGAGTCATCCAACCTCGTGACATTACGAGAGAGATTACAGAGAATCGAACAGACCGCACCACCAACATGGCGTACAACGTGGTGCTTTGCAGTTGGATACTGGGTGATTAGTGGAGGGGCTCTCAGCATTGAAGATGGAGAAGAGCGACGTCATTTTCTCGACCAGTCACATTCGTATATTCAAAGGGCACGAAGGGAATACATGTGTGAGATGACGGATGCTCATTCAGAGGAGCCAGGTGATCATTTCCATTTTCGAAAAATATTGGATTCGTTTGAGACCGACTTGAAGAAAACGTATGTGCGTGAGGGCTTTCAAAGAGAAAACGATGCGAATAGTTCTACAATGGGTCATATTGAGGGTTCAAGGTGGAAATGGTTGGATTATATGTATGTAAAACCACCTAATGGAAATCTACCAATGTCTCCCACTGCCTCTCCTTTATCAACTGCCTCTCTAAACTTGGATGAGATGGAGATGCCAGATACACGAATGATCGATGATGATGAACTATCTATATACACGCATCTTGTTAGTAGTAGAGGAATTATTGATATGATGTATAGAGGGGGTATTGGGGGTATCGATAGTGATGATGATGATGATTCTGATATTGAGGCATATACTGGTTATCACAACTCTGGAAGAAAGTATATTAATAATACGGACTCGGGCATTGTGAAGCATCGAGCCAAATATACAGGTCATTCCAACATAGAGGTAGGCCCACCCTTGTCTATCATTATAGATTACATTACTAACAGCCTGTTATTAGACTGCTAAAGACGTTGAGTTTTATGGTCCCAACGATGAATATATTTTATCAGGGAGTGATGGAGGCTATCTTTTTATTTGGGATAAAAAAACAAAACAAGTCGTCCAAATACTTCACGCCGATGATGAAATTGTAAATGTTGCAAAAGGGCATCCCACATTGCCTATTTTGGCAGTCTCTGGTATTGATTTTACAACCAAGATATTTACACCAACCTCGAGACCTATTCTGACATCAAAACTAAAAGAACCTCATAATCCAGCCTCTTATTCTTCGTCTTCTCACTTGTTTGAAGAGGAAGAGCTGGTTGCAAGAAACCGAGAAAATAACATTAATCTGGGAGACGAGATGTACATTACTCGTAGTATGATTGCTGCATTATCAAGGCTGGAACGTCGATATAGTCGGAGACGTCGCGAGAGGAACTTGCTGCTTGGTATTGAGGATGGTGATGAAGAGGATGACGATGATGATACATCTTCATTCGACAGTATTTTAGCTCTTTAATGGGAAGGAGAAAGAAAATAAATAAAAACCATCTTTTGTGTACTGAGAGAAATCCTATTTTAAAAAAATTTATGCAAACCAATCAAAATAAATTAATTTCCGAAATCAGGGGGAGAACGCATTGAATAAATCATGCGTTTTGAGAAAAATAAATAAAAAGTACAAAAAGCAAAATTCAATTTAGACTTTTTCTCTTCTTTTCTAGTTTCTTTAATATATCATGACAGACTTAAATTGGTGCACCTTCTGCGATAATGCGATAATGAATTCGGTAAAATCATCAACTATGAATATAACGAGTGCTCTTTTTTGTTTGTTTTTAATAGAATATACCTTAGGACTCTCTCTACTGTTCCGAAACATGCTTACGCGAGGATGCACGTAACCACCATCCTCTAAATGGTTTTGCCGAGTTTAAAGATTTTCCTAGATCAAGGAAATTGAATGCCTCGATTTCTACATCTACAGCAAAGTCTAATATGAGCAAATCGAGTACTCAGACTTCATCTATTATCGTTCCTTCAAACCAATTTTATGCTAAATCAGCTCCTCAATATAGCCTATTATTGAATCAGGCATTTGGTGGAATACTATAGCTTTTATTATTCAATTTGAAACATAGTTTTATATGTAGATTCTTTATGAGAAAAAAGGAGAGTGAGAAAAAAAAAATGTGACCAACAGAATAAACTGTTTCTCTACCAGTTTTTAATACGAAAATGTGTGCACTGTATCAAAAAAAATAAAAAGAAGTCAATAATATTAAATACAATAAAAAAAGAAAAAAAGTAATAATATATATGTATATATATAAATATAAAAAATAAAATAAAATTTTGTAGAATTACTAAATTTTTTTCTAGACTATTTGTTTTTTTTTTTTTTTAAAGTTCCATTTGAGTCGTCTTTCGACGCTTTCTAGATAGTGAAGAACTAGAAGAAGATGAAGCGGATAGCAGAGGGTATTGGCTAAATGTACTCTCGCTATTCAATAAAGAGGGCTGACTCTTGCTCCGAC